TCAGGCCCCAAAAAGGATTGTATAACCAAAAGTTCATCTAATAAGGGTGACTAATTTTTTTTGCCCCTCTTTTAGGTCTCTTCTGCTGCTTCCTCCCAAGCCTGACACTCACCTTCATGAGGATGCTGATGGCACAGGCCATTCCCACTGCACCCACGCCAACCACGCTGATCTTATTTTCGGCATGGCTCTCCTGTTTGTGGACAGTGTGGATGAGCTGATCCTTGAGAGACATGGTGCAGTGCTGAAAGGGAAGAAAACAGATCATTTCTCCAAGCTTTGGAGCTTTTACTGACACCAGAATAATTGTATCCAGCAAGACAGAGTTTATTCCAGGATGATAAGAAAATGGATACAAAACACATGAATAAAATGTCTGGCAATACTGTCTGTATGCCAAAAAATGATTGCAAAACTGAATTACTGATGACAATCCTCTGTTCAAGCTCACCCCAGGTTTGCTTCAAATACAGCCTGAGAGCCATTGATTTTATTACATAGCTGGTGGCACTCCAGCAGCAGCAGCAGAATGTTCTAAATGACCATCCATATTACACTTGGGTACAGGAAGCCATTTTAGTACTTCTAAGCACAGCACAGTCTGGCAGGCTCTGTTCTCTCACCCTGAAAAACTGGTATTCTGTGCCCTGAAGCCTTTCCAGAGCTCAAGCTGTGCAACACTTAGGCTAAACCCTTTTTTAGCACAGCATGAGCCTCCACGTCAACTTCATGAATTTGTTTTAACGTGAAACTGCAGAGTTTTGAATTAAGATGGCTGGACTCTGGTGTTACAGCCTCTCCCACCCTGACATTTTAGCTGCAGAGCATCCTGGTTAGTTGGGTTCTGAGAGCCAAGGGAGTGCCGAAATGGCAAAACGATGACAAAGGACTGTGTATTCATCGCCATCTCCTCGTGGAAGCCACCACCACCACGCTTTCCCAGGAAATGGTGCTGCACTGGGAGCAGCCTGAAGAGCCCAGGGCAGGAGCAGCTGCACAGACGGATGCAAGTACAGACACCTCACGACTCTGAACAGGCAGCGACTCGTTCAGAGCATGAGAAGCCAAGCAGAGCAGCAGGTAAGGACTGCAAATTTTGGGGCTGAGGGGAGGGCCAGGAAGCCAGCAAGGCCCATATTTAGGAAAAATCAACCAAGCTACGTCAGTCTTGCTGTGCAGAAGCCTCCTGAAGCGTGGCCATGCACTGCACTCTCCACGTGCCAAGTCCTCCCGCTGCGCTATAAGCACTTCAAGGCTGATCAGAGCCACCCACTCAAGCACGTCTGTTACACTTAATTTTTTTTTTTCCTTTTAAGAGTGCCATACCCCTCAAAGAAACAAGTTAGGGGAGTGGTAGGTGGTCCACCGATGCTGCATTTGAAACGCAGCCCTAAGCCCATCCTCAAGTCTCTTTGCAGGATCACTCCCTGGGGCCGCACGCACCGATTACGGGAAGGAAGTTAATCCACGGAGGCTCAAGGGCATGGAGAGAGGGGACGATGGGGAGGTTGTGAGTGGAAATCACGCCGGCTGGACTCGACCCCAGGGCTGCGCAGATTCCACCACGGCCGGGGGGAACTCAACGGAGCAGGAGCGAACTTTGTCCATTTGTCGCCGCCTGCTCCACCGCGTGCCCCCGGAGGTCTGCGGGACCAGCACCGCCTGCAATCCCCCTTCTCGCATCCCCCTGTTCCTGCAGCCCCGGTTCCCGCAGCCATCCCGCCCGCCGCGGCGATCGCACCTACCGAGCGTCCTCAGGCTGTAACGGCGGGCGGGGGAGGTGGCGGCCGCGGCCTTAAATAGGGCCCGGGCGGCTGACGTGCGGCGGGCGGGCTGCGGCCGTGGGGACGTGCCCGCCGACACGTCGGGGTGGAGAGACGGAGAGGGAGGAGGGGGAAGGAGCGGCGGGAAGGAGATGGAGCGGAGGGCGGAGGGAGGCGAGCGCAGGGAGCTGGGGCGGGGCTGAGGAGCTGAGCTATGCGTGCCCTCAGCTATGCGTGGCCTCAGGGCTCGTGTGAGGGCCCTCGTCCGGGGAGATCTCACTCTCCCTGCTGTTAGCCGCTATGAGTGAAATCTGACGCTCCGGCTCTGCAGGGTTTGTGGGAATTCAAGGCATTCCTGCCTTTGTTTCCCGCCCGGGAGGTCTCAGCCCCGGCCTCCTCCTCAGGGGTTTATGGCGATAGTTCCGGATGGGGCCTCTTCTCGGGTGGCTGAAAACCAGCTTCTAATTTCCATCTAAATCAATAGATGTTTGTGGGTTTTTGTTTACCTCCCCTTTCCCTGTAGTTACGTATCCAATTCCCACTCATTTGTTGTGTTAGGTTATATAAACCAAATCTTTTGAGCCCTGCACAGTCGTACAAGCGGATCCCTGGCCATTGGGATGTGTGTTCTGTGGCACTTTCTCAATTTAAATGCTTTTTAAATGCTTATTTTCCTGAAAGGGGCTGCTGCATGGAGTGTCCCACAGCGATGCCTCAAACACAAGACTAATGTTTTCCTGAAGCTAGTGGAAATTCCATGACTGGACTCACACTGGTCAGTTTCAGTCACACCATGCTGTCAGTTTCCTGTCACCCTGCAGTTGGTTAGTGAAGCCAAATCCTTCTCCCACTCACTTACTTCTTCCAATAAAAAGCAAAACCAATTTTTAAAAGTTTATTTCCTGAATGCCTGAAGTTTCAGTTTTATACTACACTATTTTGTGGGTCATCCTACAAAACTGGATTTTAGTAAATCCACACTGCCTTTTATCCCTTTGTTATTCATTGACTAAGATGTTTTTAGTTAGCTTTTCCTTTGCAAGTTTTTCTGAAGAACTGCACAGACATCAAACTCACAGACCCAAACTGCTTCCACCATGGCTTACTTCTTAGAATTTGCTGTTCTCTGGTCCTCTCGTAATGCCCTCAAGTAGGCAAATTTACTTAAAATCTTTTGGATTTGTGCACATCAGGGCTCTGGAATTGAGAATGCCTGGCTCCTCCAGCTGGAAAACAACAAACTCAGTGAGTTTTGCTCACCTTCTGTGAGTTGTGTTCATTTATTATCTTTTACCCACTTCTGCTTTCTCCTTCTTCTCTCAGACATCCTGTCTTTACCTCATTGATTATCATGTTCATCCTTACTAAAAATCAGGTCAGTATTAGTTTAATCTTGTGTGAGTAGATGTTTTTCTCATTCTTGTTTTTACAGTAATCTTTTTTCTTTTTATTTTTTTTCATTTATTGTAGTTGTGGTACCTTTAAAATCTTTGATTTTGCTTTGCTTTTGGGATTCTGACTCTAACTGATTTTTGGCCATATCTGTCCTCAGCTCCTAGGATGTGCTTGAGTTCCTTTAGAAGTCCTTATCTTGCTGTGACATGCCTGGTCACACACCATCCCAGTGACAATTCCCTTCTGCTGGGGTGATCTGACAGCAATGGTAACCCAAAGCCTCACCATTTATCTGACAGCCCATTGGCAAAATAACAGAAACAAAAAATACTGGGGAGAAAACATCTTGAGACATAGAATTGGTGTAGATTTGCATGAAACAAGACAGAAAAATACGAAATTCTGCTTATTATAAAGACCAGCACTTCCAACAAGGGAGGTTAAATATACCTTTGTTCCTTGGTGCTGCTGGAGGAAGGAGCAATGCCTGTGGGATGTGCCATGCCAGAGAAGACTGGTCACTAATGAAGGGAAGTGTGGGTAGATGCTGAGCTTGCCCAAAGCCACATGAATGCAGGGTGAAAAGGAAACACAGTTCTGTCATTCTGCATTATTCTGGGTTCACTGAGCATCTTGTTCTGTCAGAAACCTCAAGGATGGATTAGGAAGTTTAATTCTGCATCCCAGGAATCTGTATTTATAGTGGCTCTATATGAATGGGACTGAACATCTCATCCAGGTTTGAGTTACAGACATCTGGCAGGACAGAAAATGAACATTTGACAGGAATTAAGATCAATAAGAAATATTTTTGCCTATAAAAACTTTTACTTCTAATGAGTTTAAATGCAAGATTAGGAAGCTTCTATGACAATACTGGCTGAATGGAATAATAAGCGTTTTAAAATGAGTAACTAATATACAGCAAGTGGTATTTTACTACTCACAGTGAGACCAAACCTCCTAAGAGAAGACTATTGGTATTGTAAGAATCTTCTTAGCCTGTGGCTCAGACAAAATGAACTTGGACGTGGTTTTCAGGGTGTAAATTCCAGTAACATCTTCACATGCCTTCACTTGTGTTTGTGTTGCTTGTTACTGAGAACAGAACCAAGAAAGAATTGCTGTTATCTAGAAGGCATCAGGTTTGTCCTTATCTCTCTGGTGCCTATTCAGATACCAGGGGTCCTACTTTTAGTGGAGCAGGCCAGAGAAAACCAGCTGGGATGTTTCAAGACCATCCTGGTCCCAGTGTGTCCTCAGTGATGATGATAAGCAGATTAGAACCCTTTTTATAATTAAAAAATAGAGTTAGCTTTTAATATGCCAGTGCTCATTCACCTTTTAACTTATCTCAGTCACAGAACTGAGAAGGCAGCTGAGATGGCCAAATTTTTCCTTTTATGTGGCCTTTGTGATCTTATTATCAGCAGTAGATGCTCAGGAGGAAAGCAGTCATCTGGCATGATTGACACTGATTTTCTGCCTCAGAGAGCTTCACTGAGAGAAGGCTCAGACTGCACAAACAGAACGGGGTGAGCAAATTACAGGCATTTTTCTTGCACTTGGAAGATGGAGGCCAGGTCTGTTTTGATTTCCTGTAAGTGATTGATTGTAGGGATGGGTTGACTTATCTTATATGTGTACATAAGAAGTTTTATTCTTCCTGTTCTTTCTCCACTGCTGCCTTTTATTGTGGTAGCAGGAGGTGGTGTTGATAGAGTGATGGGAATGCCAGAAATGTGACAGTCTCTCCAGGGAAGCTTGACCCTTCCTCAGCTTGCTTGCACTCCTTTTCATATTAGTTTTCACAGATTAAACATGAATAATAAAGCAATAGAAGTTGCTGAAGGTAGAAACATTAATATTTTTATTTTAGGACTTAGAAGCAGAGCCTTTCCTCTGGCCTCAGGTGGCATTTGATCAGGATCTGAGCAATAACAGATGGAAACAAAAGTCACATTCTTATTACACAACATATTTGCCTTCAAACTATGAGATACTATCAGACCATTGTCACAAAAATAAAGTCTAGAGACAGTTATACAAGGTGAGTTCAATGTGTACATTTTGCTATTTTCAGTAAAACACAAAATGTTAATAAATTTCTCTCCATTTTGCTAGTATACGAGACGTTTTACATGGTGACATTTAATTTCTGCTCTCTCTATTTGCCCAGGTCCTGGCTCAGGACAGACTGAGTCAAATCTGATGGTGCTGCAGGGGTGAACAGGGACACCAAACCAGGACCTGCAGGTTTGCTGAGTGACCTGCAGCTCAGCTGGGAGGTAATCAGCAACCCAAAGCTCCTGGGGATGCTGACCAGCCCTGCAAAGGTCAGTGGCATTTCTACCTGAGACATGAGGTTTAATTTTTGCTTAAAAATCCGAGGGTCTATTCCATTTATGATCAGTCCTGCCTTTGCTCTGACATCATCAAGGGCTCTGCTTTCACATGGTGTCAGTGTGTGAGGGAACCTGGCACTACCCATAGCTACATCATGTTCCAGTCCTGTCTTTCCCTTTGATTTATTCTGAGACCTGAACAATTTCCTCCAGCTTTAATGGCTTCATTTCTCCTTTGTAAAATGTGTTTTATCTACCAACCTGATGGTGGTACTGCAGAGATTTGTTAATTATGAAACATTTCAGCTTTATAAAGCAGCATGAAATTGATGAATGGTATTTTCCTGAACCAGACACCGAAGTGGAACTTGACACCAAAAGTTTTAACAGCCAGATTTCTTGCATTATTCTTTTGAAATACTTACCAGGGTAAGATACAGGGAGCTGGTTCATACTCCATAAAAATCCACATTTTGTGTTGCTCCAGTTTGGTCAGTATAGCCACATCAAACTGTTTGAACTGATCTCCTAAGAAAACTAAAAGCTGAAATATGAGTTTCATCCTGGCTTGCACTAACAAGTATCTCTGCACAGAACTGATTAGCCACAATCCATACACCTCTGGGTGCCTCTCCTTGGCTGCTTCCATGCACATCCAAGGATGCTGGTGTCACAGAGATCCAGGGCTTTTGCTGCTTCATGCCCGTTTTCTTTGCACTGTCATTGTGGGAAGGGGAGGGGCTAGCTGATGCAATTCTCATTTCCTGGTGTTTACGGGTCTGTGTCTCTGCAACCTATTTTTAAATGTGCAGGAGGGGAATAAATATGGAGAGCTGTGTAAGTAAGAGTCAATTTCTGGAACACCCAGACTTCCACAATGGGTTTTTTGTCAGTTGTCTGGTTTGATTGCAAACTACTTTCTAGCTGGCATCTTTCAATACCCAGAACTTCCAAGTTACACCAGTTTTTCTCTTCCCCTTAAGAGGTTGGTTATGTTTGCAAGTACAGCTGCAGTGGATTATGCATTCAATGTAAAGCTAGACAAAACTGTATTTTTTTTCCAATGCCTTCCTAAATCAACACTCTAGGTAGCTGACTAAGTAGAACATGTGATTTTGTCTTGTTTCTCTAAGGAAATGAATTTATTCATGAAAGCATGAGTCACAGTGCAGGATTCCAAGCCAAACCCATTCCCTTGATGCAACTCTGGAATCTTACTCATTTACTTCGGAACTGCAGGAAACGGGATGCTCTGATAAGTGACATGCACTTAACTACACAATACTGCCTCCCTTTTGGATGGAGACACTTTTCTAGCATTTCAGACCTTATATATCTGGTTGATGCTCTGTGTTATAGCAGATTATACATTCTCTCCCAGCCAAAAATCACTGTGTCCAAACTTTCATTTCTGTAAATCAGAATTCCAAGTTACATTGCTGGAAAGTCAGCATCCTATGGTGAAGAAATTGCTGGGCCATTCCAACCACTGCAGGAAGGTGAGAGCACTTCTCAACATTACAGACAAACAGAGGGACCTACAGATGTCTATATAATAAATTATTATCCCAGCTGGAAAGTCAGCATCCTATGGGGAAAATTGCTGGGCCATACCAACCACTGCAGGAAGCTGAGAGCACTTCTCAACATTACAGACACACAGAGGGACCTACAGATGTCTATATAATAAATTATTATCCCTCCTTTGGAGGAGGAAGATGAAGTTTAACTTGCAGTTCAACAGATGCAGCAATAGAATGGAGATGGCAACCAGGTGATTTCATTTTCACATTTAGGCCACCCCTGAGGCTCCTTAAAGAGCTGCAGCTGGGCTGGCTGAGCCCAAGGGTAGCAGGCCTGAGGGGTGATGTTGGCTTGTGTTGCAGACCTCAACTCTTCTGCTCTTCTCAGAGGGGAAAAATAGCTTCACTGTTTCTGCACAAGGTATTCTTTTAAGTATTTGGTTTGGTGGTGGCTGTTTGCAGCTCTGTAGGTGGATACAGAGCCCTTGGCAAAAGACATGACTGTGACACAAGGGTACTGTCCTGAGAGGTTACCAGGCAGAGTTGTAAATGCCATTTATATCCTGCCAGCAGAGTCCTCTTGTCATATGTATGTTCAAAGTGTGGCTTGTCAGGAAGGGAAGAGTGATTTCTTATCCTTTCCAGGAAAGAGTTGCTTTGTAGTCCAAATTTCCTTCCACGCCTTTTTAATTTTAAGCGCCCGTGTTTCTTAATTGAAACATGGTATGTTGTACCATGATTCAGTACCAAAGGTCTGAACTGTGGCAGTGATTCCAAGGAAAAATGAAGTTGGGGAGAGAGGTGCAGCCTCAATTGCTGGAGGGCAATGGTCTTTTGACCCAGCTTGATTATGCAGCTGTAGTGAGATCATTAATACACTTCAAGCAGGCAGCAAGCTGAACATCTCTGTTGGGAGCACAGCTTTGCAGCACAGGCACTGCAAAGGCACACAGCAGAAAGAGCTCATCAGCCAAAGAGGCAGAATGAACCAGGGGAGTGAAAGTGGTAAAGCAGAATAATTGCCAAATATGGCTCTTGACTTGGCATGCTGTGTTTTCCAAGAATATTACACAAATACCAACCCTTATCTCCATCGATTAATTCAGGGGTTTTATTTATATTCAAGTTTTAAATAGAAAACGGAAGATTGCTGCTTGCCTGTGGACTGCCAATGAATAGTTTTCACAATGCCATGCTAAGTGTGGCATTTCTGACTTGTGTTCCCTCTGTGCCTGTATTTGGATGAAATTGCACAAATGTTTAGCAAACATTTGCAGGGCTCAACCTCATTGTTTTGCAAACTGTGGTGAGTCTTGTTTAAGGAGGAAAATATTACCAAAGGGAGGAAGAGAGACAGCATGACTTTTATCTCCTGTGGGGGAAATCCTGGTACTTACAGAGCTTTGTGGTTCTCTAAGTTGGGCCTTATAGTAAGAGGAGCAGTATGCCTGTGTCTTGAGTGCAAGGTACAAGCATTTCTCTCTGACCACCTCAACCCTGTGTTGTTTTTCTCATGGCTGTATGCAAAATTAGTTTTATCCCTCAACCTTATGCAGTCCTGGTCTTAGGAGACAGTATCTCAGTTCAGAAGCCCTTTAAAAGGTGCCATGTGATGAAAATGTGAGATGCTGGGAGACAGTACCTTGTGTTCTCTTGTGTGTGTGTGCACAGGGCTGGATTTCTGGAGGCTGGGTGTCCTGAACAGTTCTCTCCCCATATATTCTCCACATCCTTTTTGCTAGTTGTACAGCATTTCTGCTTTATGCATCCTGTGTGTTTGTGTGATATTAATGCTGTGGTCAGAAGGAAAAGATACCTGCATGCTGTATCTTTTGCTCTCTCGGTGAGGGCAAACAGTGTCTGGAGTGGCAGCAGAGCTGTGCAGTCCCCTGGGTCAGCATCACCTCCCTGCCTCGTGAGGAGCCTTGGGCAGCTGCTGGGGCAGTGGGGCTCGCCCATCGCTTCCCTCTCGGCCTCTGGACTGAAATGTTTGCAGTCTGGGCAGTGCCAGCTTGCAAAAATATCAGCATTAGAATTTGAGAGACACTGGACAGACCAGAGGCCAGGTTTCTGACTGCTGGGGTGTGATGGGGTGTATTCATGTGCTCTGACAGATGGAGCCAGGACTGTTGCTTTCTTTATGGAGCATCATTCTGTGCGTGCGTGTGGCTGCTAACCCAGCATTCTGCATTTTTAAATTTTAAACTCTGTGGGGGTACGTATTTTGAAAAGAAATCTGTTTCAATCCAAAACTTTTGGAACTTGTTCTTCTCCAGGTTTGGATTTGAAAAGTGAAGTCAGTTAAAGGCTGTGGTACTCAATAATTTTTGGAAAATTCTGGATTAAGGATATGTCTTTAGTGTTCTGTTTGTATGTTTAGATGTAATGTTGAGCATGCATTCTTGGGGTAATAATCTTAGACTTGCAGTTCATTTTAAAACGTGCTCCTTGACAAACAACATCTGGAGATTTGGAGACAGTAGTATGTTAGGTTATGAAGAGAATTAAAATTAAAAAAAAAAAAAGTGCAATGTTTCATATCTCCTAGGCAGAAGTTACTGAGGAGCAGTTAGTTTGGTGCATGATACCTCTTAGAGCTCTTAGGCATATAAGAGCAGCCAAAAATAGCTCCTTGGAAGGTCAGGGAAGGCATCTTTTCTCCATGTGGGTAGCTTTACTTTTCCATCCTGAAACATCTATATGCCTTAAGGAAAGCAAGAAAGAAGGAATGGAAAGAAGATAGAACATCAGAATAGGCTTGGAGGGCAGCCAGAGCCTGTGTAATATGTTCCTATGTTCATGGGGCACGGCCAGCCTTGGATTTTTCGTACATGAGATGGAGAAAGCCTGCATTAACTTCTAAACCATGTTTCAGAGACAGAGTGGCCAATAAAGGTTGGATTCAGTTTCTTCCATGGGTGAACAGCAGCAGGAGGGATCCTTAAGTTTTAAAATGGAGCCATAGGCGCACATCCAAGTGGTTTTAAGCTTCTGCCTGACCCTTGAGCCTGGAAGAAATTTCAGCTTGTCAGGCCGAGTGTTCTCTTTGGTCTGATGTCTGCATGCTGAGACAGAGTTTATGAGAGCATTAATTATTGAATAGGCAAGGGCTAATGTGAGAGGGAAAGGCTCTGTCGTGCTCTGTGTATTAATCTCCTCCCCCGCCCCTTCCTGCCCAAATCCTCCTGGTTAATCAGGTTATGTTTGCCCTATTTCTCCTGGGGACCGTGCAGAATGCAGTGCTGCTACAAATGGAGGAAGGGAAGGAGGAGAAGGGCATGCAGGAAGCAAGAGTGGGTAGAGAATGCTTCAGAAATGGAAGCCTCACTCTGACAGGGTTCCCAAGCTCCCAGCAGGATGCCTTCAGGCTGTGGCATGTCTCTGTGCCCTGTCACACTTGCTGACATGCATGGTCTCACCCCCAGGCCATGTGCCAAAGGACAGCAAAGGGGAACCTGTCTGCCTGTGTTCAACCTGGAGGCACTGGTGGTCTCTGTGGCCCACAGCTCCCTTCCCCAGCACCCACCCACTGCCCGTTTCGGCTGAGAGCCCCTGGGAGGGGGAAGCTGATGTTCCTGGGGGGAGTAGCTGATGTTCCTGGGGAGCTCGGGCTGCCTGCCTTTAGCCTGAAGTGCCGGTGGTTAATCCTAGGGAGGCAGAGTGTGCTGCATGCTTCTGGGCTGTAACACAGCCTCTCATTCTGGCTGCACTCATCCCCTGGGTCATGTGGCTGCAAGCCACAAGAAAATAGCACAGATGGACCCACCAAAGTAAAGAGCAGCTATGATAAGCTGGGAGCCAGCACAGACACAGTGGGCACTTCTGACCTCTCTCTTAGTGAATATAAGTTTCCTCTTGGTCTGGGAGTCCTGGAGTTTAGCTGTGAGTGTGCTATGATGAGGGTGATTCTCTATATGGGTTTCTGTCTCAGAAATGCTCTTATCTGCTCTCCTGACTGGGAGACTGTAATCCAAAGCTCTGCTGTGCCCAGTGTCAAAACCCAAAGCTGGCAGCTAAAACTGTTCCAGGAATACACAAAATTGCTCATTCTGAAGCCTGGGTCTGATTAGCCTTAGGAGAACCAGGTAAATCTTGATGGAAGAATTACATACAGTGACTTGAGTGATTTTGGGATTGTAGCAGATAATTCAGAAGGAGGTAGAGCTGCGGGTCTATATGTGCATTCTGTCTTGAGGTGAATTT